GGTAGAGCTCTTACCTTGCATGCATAGGCCTTGGGTTCATTCCCCAGAGCCCCAGGACCACCAAAAAAAAAAAAAAAATATGAGGGGTAATTTTAAGCTTCAAGTGTCTGAGCTTCTTGGATCTATAGGATAATGTTTTCAAATTTGGCCTTTATACATAGGTTTTCTATCCTATTATCTCCTCTTTTAGGATTCCTGCGTAGGTATATTATACTTCGATTTTGTCCCATGACAGAAAACTAAAACTTTGTTCATTCTTTTCCTAGTTTTTTCTTAGTTTTTTAAATTTTAATAATTTTATTGGTCCTTTAAGTTTATTTTAAATTTATTTTTATTAACTCTATATGATGGATTTTCCATTTCAGTCATTGTGCTTATTATTATTTTTTGACAGGGTCTTGCTATGTACTTCAGGCTTGCCTTGAACTCACTGTGTACCCCAGTGTGTCCTCAAACTCCCAGAAATCCACGTGCCTCAGCCTCCCTAGTGCTCCACACCCAATGCTTAACTATTTGATAAATCCCTTTTTTAATATTTTCCATTTGTCTACTAAAATATTCTTTTTCTTTTAAGTTTTGAGCATCTCTGTAATATTTGTATCAATTCTTTTTCTGCTGATTCTAAAACCCAGATCCTCTGTATCTGTTGAGCTTTTCTCCAGATGATGTATATCATTTTCATGCATCTTTGGATGTCTTAATAATTTTTTAATGTATGTTAGACATTATGAATGATATGATATGGAGTCTATTTTGTTGCATTTAATTAAAGGATTTTTAATTGCATTTCAGTAAATAAATTACTGGTGGATCCTCTTATTCCTATCAGGCTAGGTTTTAAATTTGTTTAAATATGGTGCTGAGCCAGGTGTAGTGGCATGCACCTGTAATTCCAGTATTTAGAAGGCTAAGGCAGGAGGATCACTGTGAGTGTGAGGCCAGCGTGGGATACATAGTGAGTCCAAGGCCAGCCTAAACTGCATAGTGAGACCTCAAAAAACCAAAAATAAATAAACAAATAAAGTATTAAGATAAAAGGGAATTTAATTTAAAAGAATAAATGCAGTCTGGGAACCTAAAGCTTTATGTATGCGAAGTAAGCATTCCACCACTGACCTATATACAACTAGCTCTGGTTTTTGTTTTTTTCTGGGGAGGTCTATTTTGGTTATGTCTTAGTCCTAAGGTAAAAACCTTTATTGTAGGACTTAGCCCTTACTTCTAAAATGTGGCCTTTTGAGAGTCTCACCTGAATATCTACATGTTCCACGCGTTCTTGTCACTGTGGGCCTGAACTCCAACATGATTCAACACCGAGTGAACCCTGTTCAACTCTCAGGTTTGCAGCCGTTGTTCTTTGAGAGGCCTTGTGCAGTCTTACACTGTACTTAGAGAACCTGCAGCCCAGCAGGTTGACCTTTTTGGTCAAAGGTTCAAGAGGAATTCTTAAATTTCCATGTAAATCGTTTAATTTTTTTTGTTGTTGTTGTTGTTTTGAGACAGGGTCTTGCCTTCCAAGTACTGTGACTATAAGCGTGTGACACATACCTAGTTACAAAAGAAAAAAATATATATTTAAAAAAAAATATATATATATATAGTGTGTGTGTGTGTGTGTGTGTGTGTGTGTGTGTGTGTGTGTGTTACTGGCAATGGAATCCAGGGCCTTCACACTAAGCTACATCCTTAGCCCTTTTTAAATTTTTTATTTTGAGACAGTCCTGCTAAATTGCCACATTGACTGGGCTCAAACTTGGGATCCTCCTACTTCCTGGGCCTATAGGGTTGCCTGACCATGCCTGAGCTGATGCCTGTTTTTTGTTTTGCATGTTTTTTTTTGGTACTAGGGATTGAATTTACGACCTTGCAACTTGCCAAGAAGGTGCTTATGCCACTGAGCTAAACCCCTATCCTGATGCTTGTTTTTTTTTTTGTCTTTTTCCTTTTTTTTATCACGGGGATCGAACTCATGACTGCCTGCTTGCAAGGCAGGCGCTTATCTGATGCTTGTTTTTGAAAGAGAAATTCAACCTGTTTGTTTTGTGACAATAGATGTACTGAATGTTATTCTTTGTATTCTATTTTATGCTTACTATTGAATCTATTTTTTTTTGTCTTTTTCATTATTTATTTATTTATTTATTTTTTGTCTTTTTCGTTTTTATCAGTACCAGGGATTGAACTCACAACTGCCTGCTTGCAAGGCAGGCGCTTATGCCGCTGAGCTAAATCCCCAGCCCCGGTTTAGGATTCTTGGCAATCCTTTGCCTCAGCCTCCTGAGTGCTCGGATTATAGGCATGTACCAACACACCTGGATGGGCTCATGGTTTAATGGAAGTCAGATATATAAATAATATGACTGTGTTTAGATGAGGTAAGAATCTATGATTAGGGAATTTTAAGTATCAGCTCCTAATTTTGACTACCAAAGAATGCTTCTCAGAGACTATAAGGTTGAGGAACAGTTAGCTACATCCCAGTGGTGGAAGGTCAGGGCTGGAGAAAAGTATGTTGTGTGTAAAAAATAAGTGCTAGAGAAAACCTGCTCACAGGAAGATGCACAATTATTTTTAGAATGTTTGAGGTGTCCTCATAATAGATGAGGCTTAAATATTTTTATTTAACTTTTTAAATATAAGGTGCTAGTGATTTAATCATATAACAAAACAGGCTTTTCTCAGATGCGGCTGGTGCTAGGTGTAGCTATGGCTCTAAAGAACTGAGCTTAAGAGCTTACCTAGTTTTGATTTTCCAACATGCATAGATACTTTTTTTTCCTTAGGGATCACTGTGTAGTTCAGGCTGGCCTCAAACTTGAGGTGATCCTCCTGCCTCAGCCTCCTGAGTGCTGTGATTACAGGAATATGCTACTTCTTAGGCATAGGACTAGTACCTGACTTACTCTCTGCTCTGTGCCCAGTGCAAGGCAGCATTGAGCACTCACTAAATAACTGTTAAATGAATAGGATGTCATTTAAGACCCTGGCACACTATTTACACTCTGGGGTACCTAAGGTGGCTCCTAGAGTATCTCTGAGCAATGAAGTAGTTAACTTAGGTGTAGGCCTCTTATGACTGACTTGCTAAGGAGAATCTATACCCAGAGTACTAATGTCTTGAATCAGCAAGCTAATTCCTTAAGCACCCCATGTTAAGAAGGAACTGCTCATTAGATTTTTTTTTTTTTTTTTTTTGTACTAGAAATTAAACTCAGGACCTTGTGCTTGCCAGGCAAGCTCTATATCCCTGGTCCTGATTTGATTTTATCTGTCTTTAAAACCAGTGTTTGCTCATGCTCCATTCTAGCTGGACCTTCTTTCCTCTTCTGTTACTAATGGTGCAGGATCTAATTACCTCATTATCCCTTAATTTATTTATGAAAAGACTGAGGTTAAAGAAAAGAAGGAACGCCCTGAGGCCTTTGGGGACCTTCTTTAAAAGCTTTCCTTTCCCTTTCTCTTCCCTTATGCCTGATAAAACCTCCCTTTTCTGTTTCTGGAAAGCTGCAATAGTTCTTATTTATAAATTTAAATAACTAAACTTCCCTCTCAGGGCTGGTTGGAAACTAGCTGTGTGCTTTAAACCTGGCCCGTCCACTCCCAGTGGATTAATCAATCTATCAACAAGAACTCATTGATGCAGAAGCAAGCAGCTTTCAAAACCACACAGCTCCTGGACCTGCTGCCTTCCTCTTGACAAGACACTTGAGGGAATAAGTATCTTTGAAATTTAAAATTTTATTATTATACACAAGTAATATGTGGATATATTCAACTTGTAAAAAAATTTAAACAATAAGGAAACATATAAAAAACAAAAAAGAAAAGTTTCTTCCCCTTACATTTCATCCCACTGTTAAGAGCTGGGTGTGTATCCTTTTGTTAGTACAGGAGGTCGAACACAGGGCCTTGTATTTGCTAGGCAGGCGCTGTGCCACTGAGCTGCATTCCCGGCCCTGAATCCTTTTATTTAGCCCTTTTAATCATAAACTCTTAGAGTTAGGGGTGTAGTTCAGTGTAGAGTGCTTGCCTGGCTTGCAGGAGGCTCTAGGTTTGATCCCTACCATGCAAAACAAAAACAAAAACCAATACACTTTCATAAATCTACACCTCTATAAATCCACTTATAGAAATGAACATAAGTGATATTTCTGCATGGCTGCTGTTCTGAGACAAGCATGATGGAGCATGCCAGCCACATTCACCTCAACAGGCTGAGGCAGGAGGATCACCGAGTTCAAGGCCAGCCTGAAATAACTAGTGAGACTCTGTCTCAGAAAACTAAACAGAGGCGTGCGCGCACACACATACACACAGAACTGCCCTCCTGTAGTTATTACAGTTGTCCATTTAACGCAGCCATTCTTCTAGTCAGAGCCCAGATAAATGAATGTTCGTCTCTGACTGTAATTGTAATTTGCAGAACAGAGGTGCTATTATTTTATTTTTTCGCTGCTAGTGAGTTAACAGTTTCCGATTTTTTAATGTTACAAGTTACTGGTTCTCTCATATTTGTTCATTCAATCATGGATTAGCTGTGGTTCGTCATGTGCCTCACACTTTATTTGAGGTCCCAGGTAAACAAAACAGACACCTAAAATAGTTTTGCGTGGTGGTATTCTCTTTTTGGGGAAACAGGTTTACAATTGGTCTCTGTGCCAAATCAGGAAGCCTTTTGGGGTGTCTTTCCTGCTGTAAAGATGGGGACCCCAAGATCTGTAGGTGCCAACCAGATGCACGGCAGGGGCGTGACTCCGCTTCTTACCCTGGGCCAGGGCCTGGAGGTTACGGCACCCAGAAGCTCGCTACCAATCGTATGGAGCTAGAAGCCGGCCGCAGATCCGACCCGGCGGGACCGAGCTGCGCGCGACCCTCAGCGCGCTCTGGGAGGCCGGTCCAGGGGTGGCCTCTCTGGCCACAGCTCCCGCGGGCTCTATGACACTGCACTGACTCGCGATACGGGGAGGGGCCCACTGAGCAGGAGGAGAGTACTTCTCCTGGCGAGTCTCTCGCGAGATATCTCGCGAGACTTAGGAAGTAACGCGTCTGCGCATTGCCACATCCCTGGTGGTGTCTTGTCGGTGGCGTGGTGTGTGAGGGAAGATAGCTAGTGTGGAGGCTACTGCGTCCCCCCTGGACTCGTCACCATGAGTAGCACTTTAGCAAAGATTGCGGAGATCGAAGCCGAGGTAATGGGCACAGCTGGCGCTTCACTCCCAGCCCGAGCATCCCTTCGTCGGAAGTGTAGGTCTTGTACTCCCTTCTCTTCAGTAGAGTCAAAATACGGCCGTTTCCCACTGCGCCCAGCCAGGCCTCTTCCTGGTAGCCTTCCACTCCCGGACCAGCTCTTTCTTGTTTCTCTCAGCTTGTACTCTCTTCTGGCCTCCCGTGCCGTTGTTCCTTGACTCCCTTCTGCCTGGCCCCTATTCGGCGCCTTGGGCATCTGGTCTGTATTTTCCAGTGTCAGCTTCTGCATTGACGAGTTTTCTGTTTACTTTTTCTCTGATTGATTCCTGTACTGTACTTCGTCCTGACCAGTCATGTATCTCAGGATATTTCCATGTCATTCCTGTCCTTTCCACCGCCGAATCTTGAGTACTTTAATGATTCCCTTGACACTATTGCTTTTCGGCATTAGGATCTGGAAGTAAATTGATGAGTGTTTTGGTATTTGATTCCACCTGGATATTGAATGACTGTTGCCTGAGGCAGACAAGGCTTTTTATTTTATAATTCTGTATTTTTTTTTTCTTTATCGGTACCAGGGATCCAACTCACGACTGCCTGCTTGCAAGGCAGGCGCTTATGCCGCTGAGCTAAACTAAATCCCCAGCCCCAATTTTGTATCTTTCATTTGTTTTGTAGTTGATAATTCCACCCTTGTGTAATTTTGTGCCCCACCCCCCATTTTTTGTAATGGAACGAACCCAAGGCTTCCGCACAGAACTGCATTTCATTAAGCCACTGTTTCCCAGGCGGGGCTCATACTTACCCAGCGTGCTGGGTTTACAGGCATGTGCCTCAGCTTTTTTTTTTTTTTTTTTTTTGAGACAAGTATTTCTATGTAGTTCAGGCAAACTCATCACTCTCTTGCCCTCAGCCTTATGGATTATCGCTCAGAGCTTTTTGAAGCCAGAAAAATCGTGACCCTGTTTCAGATGGGCATACCACATTACAAGCATTAGAAAAGGAATCAGCAAATGGATTTAATCTGGTCTGTTGCTGCTAGCTGGAATGACCTAGATCTTGTCTTATTTGACCTCATTTGCTTCTTTTGGATGATAGAATGTATTTTTACTCTTTTTTAAAAAACATATTTAAGATTAGTATACTGCCATTAGTAGGTCCTAGAAAAAATTACTCTCTTAGCTGGGGAAAGCATCCTGGATATTTAACCCTGTGGGAATGGCTTCTGATGTATTGCTGCTATTTGTCTCTTACAGATGGCTCGGACTCAGAAGAACAAGGCCACAGCACATCACCTAGGGCTGCTTAAGGCTCGCCTTGCTAAGCTTCGTAGAGAACTCATCACACCAAAAGGTGGTGGTGGTGGTGGGCCAGGAGAAGGTTTGTGTTTTTCAATATTTTGTGGTATAATTTCTGTCAATACTCTATGTGGTTTTAAGTTTTTTTTTTGTCAGTACCGGGGATCGAACTCAGGACTGCCTGCTTTCTTTTTTTTTTTTTTTTGTCTTTTTCATTTTTATTGGTACCAGGGATCAAACTCACGACTGCCTGCTTGGAAAGCAGGCACTTTTGCCGCTGAGCTAAATCCACCGCCCCTGGACTGCCTGCTTTCAAAGCAGGTGCTTATGCCGCTGAGCTAAACTCCCAGCCCCTCTGTGGTTTTAAAGTAATTTTTCTGTCAGAGCAGTTTTGTATGTTCTAAATTCTTTTTTTCCTCTAATGCTGAGGATCAAACCCAAGTCTTGAACATGCTAAGCTTTTTGACAGTTGCAGCCCTTCTCCCTAAGCCTGAATTTTGAATTATGTTTATTTTGTTTTACTTTGCTGGTTTCGGAGGCAAATGAATATTATCTAAGTAAATTATAGTTTTATTTATAGTCTGTACTGAACCAAAACAGATTTACATTGACTTGTAGAAGTATATGAATCTATACCATTACCAAGATTAAAATAAGTAGAGAAGTTGTTGTAATGGGAAAATCAAGGTAAGAATAACAAGTTGAAGCCAAGAGAAAGAAGATTAGGACCTAAAGGAATGCTGTAAGCTCTATATGCTAGGGAAAGGCTGCAGATTTGGTTTTGTACTTTTGCAGCCATTTAACAGAACAAAACAAAATAAAACCATTAGTTACAGCATTTACAGAGTGTTTAAGACAAAGCACTTCTCGTTTTTAAAGTAGTCATTCCTTAAATACAGATACTAAAAAAGTATATAACAATTTTAATGATAGAGGAATGAATACCACATTGAATGTTGTGAGTTGATGTGGAGGAAATTATGTTTACTTTAATTCTACTTAAGAAGTAAACAATAAGTTTTGAAATCCAGGGTCTAGAGAGAAACAGTAAAAGTGTGAAAGGAATTACATGAATTTTAACTTACCTACATATAATTTCTCTTTTGACGTTTATTGCTTTAGGTTTTGATGTGGCCAAGACAGGTGATGCTCGAATTGGGTTTGTGGGCTTTCCATCTGTGGGGAAGTCAACACTGCTGAGTAACCTAGCAGGAGTATATTCTGAGGTGGCAGCCTATGAGTTCACTACTCTGACTACTGTGCCTGGTGTAATCAGATACAAGGGTGCCAAGATCCAGGTGAGTCAGGCCTGCAGGCCAAAGAAGGGAAGAGATCCATATTTTTGTTTATATAAGGAGTACTTGTGGGAGCTCACTGTATGCCAGGTCTGATTTTTTTTTTTTTCCTTACTTTTCATTTTTTTTTTGAGGAGGGTCTCTATGTAGTTTAAACTGGCCTTGAACTTAGTGGTAGCCTAGGTTGTTGTGATCTTCCAGCTTCAGTCTTCTGAGTGTTGGGATTGATTACAGGGCATGTACCAGCACACTGAGTTGATTTTTGATTTAATCTTTATTGTCTAACAGGGCAGATGGAGCAGTACAGAAACCAATAATATAGAGGATTAGTGCTGGGCATGATGGTTACATGCCTAAAATCCCAGTACACAGGAGGCTGAAGTAGGAGAATTGCTGTGAATACAAAGCCAGTCTGAACTACAATAGCAAGCCCTTGACTCAAAGCAAAAAACGAATAGAAAAAATAGAGGGATGGTACCTGTAAAAATGTTTTTCACCTGAGAGTTGATGAAGTTCTAGTGAGACAAAGACTTGATGTCAGCAGTGACATAGGAGGTAAGAATTGAAATTAGAATGAAATTTCACCAGGCTGAGAAGGGAAAGAGAAGACCACTTGAGGCAGTAGTAATGTAAGTATTTTGCTGTAATGTGAGAATCTGTGTGGAGCCAAAATGCTGAAAGCTGAAACTCGAAAGGTAAGTTGGGACTGAATTATAAGCTTTGTGTGCCTGCTAAGGAAGTTGAATTTTGTTTGTAGTTAGGAATTTCTATATTAAAAACTTTTAGATTAATAAGGAATGTGGTCAGACCCTTTCTTATGTGTGAGGCCTAATGAAGTTGGTCTTCTAACACTTTCTTCTTTATCGTCGTCGTCGTCTTCTTTTTTTTGGTACCAGGGATCGAACTCATGATCTCGTGCTCCCCATGTAGACTCTTACACTGCTGAGCTAAATCCCTGGCAAAAGTTTCTGGGATTTCAAACTCATGACCTAGTGCTTGGCAGGCAGGCGCTTATATGCCGCTGAGCTAAATCCCTGGCCCAACACATTCTTAGAATATGGTTTTAGATCTCCTAAACAAGGGTTACTCATGGGTATGGAAGAAGGTACATGTAGAATATAGTAGAATATATTTTTATTGGGCGCACAGTTAAGAATGCAGAGTTCTGAATTACATGGTATTTGAATTTTTGTTAAGAACTCAGACTTTCTTGGTTCATTGTACCCTGAGTGTCTCAGCAATTATTTCCTGATACCTTTTTGTGTTTCATTTATTTCTCTGTATTGGGGATTGAATCTAGAAGGTGCTGAGCTGCATCCCTAGATTTTCTTATTTTATTTTGAGACAAGGTATTACTTCATTGCCTAGGCTGACCTTGAATTCGTAATCCTGCCTCTTTCTGAGCAGCTGAGATTACAGGTGTGTGCCAATTTTTTATGTGTTCCTTAGGCAAAAAAATTGTAAAGCTGGGCATAGTGGTACATGCCTGTAATTCCAGCTGCTCAGGAGGCTGAGGTAGGAGGACTGGTGTGAGTTCAGCCTGGATTCCAAAGTGAGACCTTGTCTCAATCCCAGAAAAACCCCAAATAGTTCCATTTGTTAGGAACTTCAGTCCAAACAATTGACATATTTACTAATAGGATATGCACCTGTTGGGCACTACATAACTCTACATACCTTAGAATTAGATTAAATCAGATACTGCCATGTTTATTTCTTTTCTCATACTAGTATTTGTGTGATTCTTATTTGTTCCATAGCAACTGCTAAAAAAATCCAACTTTCCAAGATTTGGATGTAACTGAAAGCAGTCTAGTGGGTTGCTGAAATTGTGAACTACTGGATCTAGTGATTGTGTTGATATCTGATACAAATCAAGAATTACTGTGTTTCTTCAAAAAAAAATTACTGTGTTTCTCTTGAAAATTTAGGATAGCCAATCTGACACCCTACCTGTCACCTCACTGGGTTCCCCAGACTACCTTACCTTAGTACTTAGTTTGGAAGCCAAAGTATAGGTATTTTTCTTACTGCTGAGCTACACAATGAGTTTGGGATGCATTCATGCTTTTATTATGGAATCTTAGGTAGGACGGAATCTGTGTGTTCTGGTGGTATTTTTTAGTGACTTTTTTTATTGTTGACCAGGTGCCCATGTAGAAACTGTGTTGGGTCATGTCTTTTTCGGAGATCATATATATTAAATGTATGTAATAAGAATTAGAAAAAAACAGGTGTATGGACCATGGCTTGATTCTAGTTCATTTCAGTCTTAATAATCTTAGATTTGGCAGCTCAAAGACTGACTTCTTTGTGAGGTTTTATTACCACCTGTCTCAGGGCTTCTGACAGTAGCAGAATAAAAAGCCTAACTTCTCTCTGATTTTTTTCCCCCTATAAAAGCTGCACTCATTTTACTCACCTGATTTTTTTGTTTTGGTTTTTTAGCCCTCTTGCCCTATTTGCAGGGCACTTTCCTGCCTATCCATTCTGCCTCTGTTTTCCCTTCTTTCTTCAGAAATCATGTAACTATATTAGGTGTACTTAAGATGTTTACTGTGAAATGTTTTTGAAAATGCTCTTTTAGCCTGGCATGATGATGTATGTCTGTAATTTCAGCACCTTGGGAGGCTGGGAAGTTTGAACCCAGTCTGGGCAACTTAGTGACTTAGCGAGAACATGTCTTTTTTTTTTTTTTTTTTGGTCTTTTTCGTTTTTATCGGTACCAGGGATCGAACTCACGACTGCCTGTTTACAAGGCAGGCTCTTATGCCGCTGAGCTAAATCCCCAGCCCTGGGTGAACATGTCTTAATAAAAAACTAAAGAAGGACTTTAGATGTAGTTCAATTTGAAGGCCTTGGGTTTAATCCTCTTTTACCACCAAAAGAAAAGAAAAGAACCAAAAACAAACTGTTTTTGTTATCTGTAACTTAGTGGGATAGGTATACAGAAAAGGGATTTTTGTTAAGTAAGTTCTTAGTGCCTAAAAATAGTACATAAAAGTGTTGGTGGCTAAACTAGTACTTAGCAGGGATATCATAAAAAAGAGCTAGGTGTATGTCCTAGGGATGTGATACATGGTGCTTTGTGAATTATGGGGTGTGTTTCATCTTGCCAGAATTCCTAAAACTCCTAATTACACGGTGTTGACTCGCATACTTTTTTTTTTTTTTGGGTACTGGGGATAGAACTCATGACCTTACACTTGCCATGCAGACGCTTATGCCACTGAGATAAATCCCTGACCCCTTAACTCACACACTTACGTTACCTATTTTAATCTGTGAAGGCATGCAAGTGTGAAGTAGTTTTAATATCTAAATTTTATTTTTAAACTGGGACTTGAACTCAAAACCTCATGTTTGCTAGGCAGGCACTATGCTGCTGATCTGTATCCCTGGCCTTGGTATCTAATTCTTAAATTTGTACAATTCCATGATTTAAATAAATAGTTTTCCCTCTCTTTTTTTCTTTTTTTTTTTTTTTTTTTTTTTTTTTTTAACTTTTTATGGCCAAGTGTTTGTTTGTTTGTTTGTTTGTTTTGGTACTGGAAATGAAACTCATGGCCTGCCCTTGCCAGGCAGGTGCTTGGGCTGCTGAACTAAATCCCCAGCTCAGCCCTAAATTGTTTTTGATAGACTCTTAAGAACTGTAACTAATAGTTTGTAGTTTTGATGAGCTGTGCATTTGAATCACATTTGCTTTTGATGTTCTTGTTATTAAGTGAATTCTGACTTATGTGAATTTCTACTTTACTGCATTTCCTGAACAATTAAGCAGTCAGTTTTTTTTTTTTTTAAAGCAGTTTTTTATTGGGGACACACATTATAGTTACCTGTGGAGGGTTTGGCACCCTTGTGTGGCCATTCCAAATCAGAATCTGTAATGATGGGTCTTATCTGTCAACATCTTTAATATTTTCCATTTGATTCTGTTGTGTTTCTGTGATTAACAATTGCTGCAGAAGTTTTTGAGTTGGGGCTTTACTAAAGTCTCAATATCCCATGTATTATTAAGGTCTGGCGGTGAACTGCAGAGAGGAATTTGTGTGGAGGCTCAGCTTTCTGAAAAGTAGGGAAGCACTGAAAGACAGTAATGTAGAATAATAGATTTTGGCCCAAAATGCATGAATTACAATCTGAATTTTAGGTTTATGACTTTAGGCAAGTCTTGTAACTCTGACCTTGACTATTACTTTTGATAGGGAGATGTTAGGCATTTTAATGTAGGAAAAGTATACAAAAAGACTGTAGCTGACATTTTACTTGCTCTTTAGTGCAAGTAAAATAATTACACACTGACTTGTAAGGAAGTTTGATTTCTAAATTTTGGATACTTAAGAAATCATGTTTGGCCTGTTCAAATTTATGTTCTTTTCCTCTCCTTCTGCCTGCCCTTATTCTTGCAGCTCCTAGATCTCCCAGGTATCATTGAAGGTGCCAAAGATGGGAAAGGTAGAGGTCGTCAAGTCATTGCAGGTAAGTAACCCAGGGCCACAATCCTGTGATAGCATCCTTCACCTGTGAGGGTTAGGGGTGGAGGTGGTGGTTCTTTTCCGTCTTTGTCTTCTTCCTCTTCCTTTTACTTTTTTCCTTTCTTTGCTTCTTTTTGTACTGGAGATTAAATCCTAGACCTTCACACTGAGTTACATCCTTAGCTCTTTAATACTTAAAAGAGTACTGAAATGTCAAAACATTTTTATTTGAGTAAAATGTCAAAATTTCAAGAGACCTCCAGCAGTCATAGTCCAGACTCCCTTTTTAAGTGAAAAATTTAAGGACAGAAAAAGAAGTAAATACTAGACTTTGTCCAATATTTTTTTCTTTTTTAAAATTTTTTTTAACAGTAGCAAAGTTTTATTAAAGTAGGAAAAGAAACAGGCTCTTTAGCACAAATTTGGGCCAAGTAAAAGTAGGAAAAGAAGTACACTTTACAAGGTGAGAGTGAACCACTATGTAAGAGAGAATCCAGTGGCAAAAACTCTTTTATCACTCACTCCTCAGGCTGACATCAGGTCTAGGCCATCCTAAAAACCTGCTTAAATTTTTATGGGTGGTCTGTGTGCTGGGCTTTGGGGACCACTCTGTGCATGTCTAACAGGTCATGTCTGCTTCCTCAAACAGCTTTGCCACACTCTAATCTTTGAGTCTGATTTCCCTTTGAGACATATATCTGCATGATTCTTTAGGGAGGAGAGGTCTTTGTCTTCTGTAGCTTCTTCCAGCTGGAAGGGGCTGTAGACCCTACCTAATGGGAGTTTTGTGCTTCCAGCTACCTTGGGGGTATTATGGTCACTATCTGGGTTGAAGAAAAGAGACCTATCAGAAGACAATGAGAAAAGTTAGTGACTATTGAGCTGTCTATTAGATGGAAGAGAGTAAGGTTACTGTTATGTTGGGGAGGTAGAACCCAAATAGGAAGAGTAGGTCAGATATTCATGCTTGTGAAGGACAGAGTATAACAAAGAGGGAGATTAAATAAATTACTGAGAGCCGTACTAGGCTATGGCTATAGATCCAGAGAAGGGTTTTCCAGAGATGGAAGTCAGAATCAAATGAAGTAATCGAATTGGCTCATAACATCCAGGGTTCCTCACAGGAAATGGTAATGTCCACGGACAGGGGTATTATAGGGTCTCTTGGGCCTCTTCAGAGTAGGCTGTGGAGGTTTTGGCTGATCTAGCCCCTTTAAGAGCAGGGACAGTCAAACCTCAAGTGCCGTGAGTCAGGCACATTGGGTGTCTGACACTTGGACCAAGACCCAGGAAGTTGCAGGCAGAGGTTTGGAGCAATTTTGTCTTGCACTTGAAACAAAAATTCTTTCCTTGGAGGCTGGGGATTTAGCTCAGCGGCATAAGGGCCTGCCTTGCAAGCAGGCAGTCGTGAGTTTGATCCCTGGTACCAATAAAAACGAAAAAGACAAAAAAAAAAAAAAAATCTGTCCTTGATTATGTTTAGATTTTCCCCCAAGCAAACTGAGTGAATTTGAACTACATTGTGAAATTCTGCACAAAAAGATGATAACACAAAAAGGAGCTGTACATGCCTGTAATTCTGGCACTTGAGAGGAAAGGAGGATTACAAGTTCAAGACCAGCTAGTACTATATAGCAAGACCTTGACTTTAAAAAAAAAGTAGTCTTCTGTGCCTGAATCTTTCATTTTTAAAATATTTAACCATGTTGTATAGATATTGTTGATACATCTCTTCTTATAAGTGAAAAATACTTCATGTTACAGATGTACTGTCATTTGTGTATCTACGTATTATTCACCTCCCTTAAGATAACCTGGATTGGCTATAGGTTTGGGTAATTAGGTAGAAATTTGCTGTGAACATTCACAAACCTCTTTCTGTAGGCATATGTTTTCATTTCTTCTGGTTAAATAGCAGTGTAATTGTTGGGTCACATAGGTTATTAGAAAGTACTAAATAGTTATCCAGGGATTTGTATAATTTTATATTCCCATAAGCAGTATTCAGGAATTCTAACAGCTATACATCCTTACCAACACTTGATATGCCATTCTTTTTTAAGTTTATCTATTCTAGCCAGAATTTAATATCTCATTATGGTTGCATTTCTCTGATGACTAATGATGTTGAGTCATCTTTTCATGTCCTCATAGCAATCCTGTCTCAGCCTTCCAAGTGCTGGGATTACGGGCATGTACCACCATGCCTGGACTTTATGTGGTTCCATTTACATGAAATTCTAAAAAGTGCAAGGTAGTTGTGGTAAACCGAAAGCAGGTCAGTGGTTGGTTAGGAATAGAGAAAAAGATTAAAGAAGGCACAAAAGTCCTTTTTTGTGAAGTGAATCTTCTGTATCTTGATTGCTATGGTGGTAACACAGGTACACATATCTGTCATCAAATTATGTGCGTAATATTGGTACAATTTATTTTTTGGTAAATTGTACCTCAGAGTTGATTAAAAGTATGCTAACTAGATGCTCTTTTACAACTCTTCCTGTTTTAAATCTTCATAAGCTCTTAGGTTATTGCCTGGTTTGTATCTTCTTTTTTTTTTTGACAAGGTCTCACTATGAACTTCTGTAGCTCAGGCTGGCCTTGTACTCATGGCAGTCCTCCTGCCATAACCTCCTAGGCACTGAGACTATAGGTATGTGCCACCGTGTAGTCATTTTTGACTTTTTTTTTAAATTAGTATATTGTAGAAGTTGTGTCAACTTTTGGGTGAATATATAAAGATTTTGAGATATATGCTATAAATTGATCTCTGATATGAATCTTTGTCACTGTAATAGTTTTATGTGTCCATATTTGTAAAATAAATTCATCTTTTTTAAGTATAGAGAGACAATGCCTTTATTTGAGTTAGTTAAGCTGAAATTTGGCTATAATTTTTCCCCCCTGCAGTGGCCCGAACATGTAATTTAATCCTGATCGTTCTGGATGTCTTGAAACCCTTGGGACACAAGAAGATAATTGAAAATGAGCTGGAAGGCTTTGGTATTCGCTTGAATAGCAAACCTCCTAACATTGGCTTTAAGAAGAAAGATAAGGGAGGCATCAATCTCACAGCGACTGTAAGTAGGGAAGATGACATGAGACAGGCTACTGAAGAAACTAAGAATAGGGAGTAGATCAGGGTTTATGGACATTGAATTTGGCAATTTTCTTGCTTTCCCTTGCCCTAGTTGAGATAATATAATGATGTGATAATGACTGACAAAGACTTTAAGGTTAGACTTACATTGGCAATTTCATTTCCACCTTTGGATTTTCTGTTTGGGGTAGTGTACAAGTGTGGATCAATCTTACTCTTGTATAAAATGATTAGTTACCAGTATCCTGTGTTTTCATTCATTTAACAGAAATTTATAGAGACCAAGCATTATTTTTTGGTATGAGCATTGGTGGTGGTAATGGGAAAGCAGAAGTGGGAACAAGGTAGACAAAAACTTACTTTTGGGTATAGTAGCAAACAAAATTACCGAGTAAAATATAGTGCATAAGACAATGATAAATCTTTTTTTTTTTTTTTTTTTTTGTCTTTTTGAAACAAGGTCTCCACTGTGCAGTTCAGACTGGCCTTTAGCTCACTTTGTATCCCAGGCTGGTCTCGAATTTGCAAAGATCTTCCTGTCTCAGCCTCCTAAGTGCCGGGATTACAGTTGTGCGCCACCTTTCCTTGCGACAGTGATAAATAAAGAACAAAATTAAACTAGAGGGAAAGGATAGTGGTGTGGCAGTTATATTTTTAAATGCATTGGTCAGAGAAGTCTTTGCTTAGATATATAAAAGTGCAATTTAAGTAGAGGTCCCTGAAGTAGAGCACACTATATGGTTGAGGAACAAGAGAGAGAGTCAGTAGAAGAGTAGGTAGAGATAGAGTCATAGCATAGGGCTATATAAGCTTTTGCTTTACTGGTGATGGTTAACTGTTGCTTGGGTTTTGAACCATGGAGTAATAGGATTTGATTTAGATTTCCCCCTCCCAATCCATTTTATTTTAAGAAGAAAAAAGAAAAAAAAGGAAATGATTTAGGTTTTAATGGGGTCATAATGGCCATTTTTGTTGAGAAATACATTGAATTGGCTAAGGCAGAGGCAGGAGGATCACTGCAAGTTGAAGCCAGTCTGGGCTACAGTCAGTTCAAGACCAGCCTGCAAGGACCCTGCTTCAAAAATGAAGCTGGGCTTGGTGGCTCATGCCTATAATTCTGGCAAGAGGATCGATGCAAGTTTGAGGCCATTGTGGGCTACAAAATGAGTTCAAGGGCAGCCTGAACTACATAGTGAAATCCTGTCTCAAAAAACAAAAACCAAAATAGTAACAAAACACTGATTTCATGTATACTCTTGTCACAATAATTCAGTTGAGAAGTGATGGCTTCTTCTTAGACCAGGGTTGTAATAGTGAAGGGAAAGAGAAGTGGTGGATTGTGGGAAAACTTTGAAAGTAGTCTATTGGGCATTATTCTTGGGTTAGATTATGGATTATGGAAAAAGATTCAGAGGTGACAGATTTTTGTATTGAATTAGAAAAATGAATTATTACTAAAATTGTAGGACTTTGAATAGAATTAGTTTGGAGGTGAGAGGATGCTCTAATTGAGATGTCAATTAGATACTAAAATGTTTCGGTTAGAAAGGCATATGAAAAAACATATCTAGAGATACATTTGGATATCATCAAACTTACAATCCAGAAGCCTAGCTGAAATTACTAAGAAAGTGAGGATTGGGGCTGGGGATTTAGCTCAGCGGCATAAGTGCCTGCCTTGCAAGCAGGCAGTCGTGGGTTCGATCCCTGGTACCGATAAAAAGGAAAAAGACCAAAAAAAAAAAAAAAAAAAAAGTGAGGATAAATAGAACAAACAAGATGTTTAAGGACATAAGATTTTTCAGACAAAACCGAGAAGTTTTAGAATCTTGGAAACAAAGTCATTGTTTCTGACTTACGCTGTTCTGCCCAAAAGATCTTTCTGTTACGCTGTCATAATGTTTACATTTGAGCATTCGGGTTGTTGCTGTTGTCCATACTGTGGTAAGAAACACATCACATAGAGCTTGTGTGTGGCTGAGTGAAGGAGCCTCTACCCAGGGACCACCAGAGCAAAATACTTGGCAGCATCTTTACCACTTTAAGCCTTACAGGTCAGTGTTATTTAGCACACAGGACCTGGGGACTCTGGCTGCAGAGACAGAAGAGGATTGGCTATAAAGGATTTTGCCTGAGGCAAGGTGGAGGTTGAGGGACCTGTCTGCTGAGCAGATACGGGTGGGGTCTGCAGGGTTTCTTCCCTCCCATGCTAAGGCCACTCCTCTCAGCATGGAATCTAACCCAAGCCAAAGGAAACAAATAAGCAAACAAACCAGTGTGCTGAGTGGGGCATGGTGGCACACAGGCCTGTAATCCCAGTCCTGGGGAAGCTAAGAAGCATGGAGGATCACCACAAGTTTGAGCCCAGCCTGGGTTACATAATAAGAGCCTGAACTGTGTGTCAAGAATCTTCTTGTCTCTCTCTTAAAAGTAGATTTGAGGGGTAGGAATATGGCTCAGCAGCACAAGTGCCTGCCTGGCAAGCGTAAGGTTGTGAGTTTGATCCTTGGTACCAAAAAAAAGTAGATTTGAGCATTCAAGACTGTTAGTTAGCTAGCTGTAATGAAGTACCACAATAGGTGGTTTAAACATTATAAATTAATTTTCATAATTCTGGAGGTCCAAAATCAAGGTGCTGGCAATATAGATTTTAGATTAGGATTCCACTTTAATGACCTCACTCTTAATTCTCTTCAAAGCCCCTCTCCAAATGTAGTTTCATTCTAAGATGCTGAAGGTAGAACTCCAACATTCAGATTATGAGGGACTAAGGTTGGGGGAATGGTAGAGAGGGTAGAAACAGACATATATTTCAGCCCATTAATACCTTCGAGTTTGGAAAAATATTTAGTGTTTATTTCCTACTAAAACTAGCTGCTGTCATCTAAGGTATTAATTTTAATAATGACTTTGCACTTTAGCTAGAGTTATACAGATATGTACATAAGTAACTCCTCCATCCCCTGACTAGTCATTGTTTCCTATACCTATTCAGTGCCCTCAGAGTGAGCTGGATGCTGAAACTGTGAAGAGCATTCTGGCGGAATACAAAATTCATAATGCTGATGTAACTTTGCGTAGTGATGCCACAGCTGATGACCTCATTGATGTGGTGGAAGGAAACAGGTACTGACAAAACACTTTCTGATTTTTGAATATAAACTATGGTGATGCAAGCCAGGCATAATGGCATTCTCCTTTAAGGCAGTATTCAGAAGGCTGAGGTAGGAGCATCGCCGTAAGTTTGAGGCCAGCCTGGGTTATATAATGAGACCCTGGCTCAAAAACAAAAACAAAACAAAAAATTAAAAATACCCATTGTGATGGAAGCAGTGTTGAATCATGAATTGGACAGATGTGGATTCTAACTCCAGTTGTGCTTTTATCTTAAATGATGGTTGATCTTTTTTTTTTTGGTCTTTTTCATTTTTATCGGTACCAGGGATCAAACTCACGACTGCCTGCTTGCAAGGCAGGCGGTTATGCCGCTGAGCTAAATCCCCAGCCCCTTGATGGTTGATCTTAATTCCTAACATTTGTCTTTGCTTTGCAGTTTGATTTATTTTTATTTTTATTTTTGGCAGTTTTATTTTTGATGGTTAATTTTTCCATTCAGTTATTTGCTATGAATGAGGCTGTCCTCTAAACTTTTTCAAGTGATGACTGAAAAAGTAGGTAAGTTTGCTCTTCTAAAATAAATCCATGTGAAAAATCTTACAGGCTGGTCTACAGAAGTGAAAGGCCAGACTGTGTCTGTTCTTTCCAACCTGAGTGTGTTGCTGAAACTATTCCATGAAACATTACTATTATTAACATGTTAATAATTTAAACTATTATTAAAAGTTACTTTTAGTATTTGAATGTAACGATTTCTGTTGACTTGTTTGATGATTTGGATTCTCATTTCAAAGCCACTGCTTTGAGTTCATCATTTTACAAGTGAGTCAGTTGAAGCTTGAGAAGTTAGGGCTTGACCCCATGTGGCAGCGCATGCCTGTAATCCCAACACTCCGGAGGCTGAGGCAGGAGGATTGCTGCCAGTTCAAGGCCAGCCTGGGCTACAAAGTGAGTTCAAGGCTAGCCTGAACTGCATAGCAAAATCTTGTCTCAAAAAAAGACATAAGTAAGTAAATAGTTATGGCTTGCCTAATTATTAGTAATCTTAGCTACCATATTAATTGGATACTAGAATGATATTACCACATATTGTGCTTAAAAATCTTCTATTGTTAAAAAATTAGGAAATACACTAAAGAATCTGTGTTAACAAAAAATTATGAAATATGTTGTTAGAAATTATACTTACGTTTTGTTCGTTTGTTTGTTTTTTCAGTACTAGGTGTATAACCTAGGTCTTCTTGTTTGCTAGGTAGGCATTCTATGGTTTAGCTACATCCTGAACCCTGTAGTACTTGGATTTAGCTTTGAAGGGAACCAGGAGCTATATTCATACATGGGACTAGGGCCTGAGTTTTGTAACTTGTCAATCTATGGTTCAATCTTTGTTTGAGCTTTCTACTTATTTTAGTAGGAAACTTTTGTTCTTTTGTTTTGTAATCATTTATTTTCTCTTTTGAGAGCCTCATTTGGGATCTAGGTGTGTATGGGACTACTAGTTGTTGGATTGATGGTTTTGTTAACTACATTCTTCCTCTACTTCTGTAGAGTATATATCCCTTGTATCTATGTGTTAAACAAGATTGATCAGATCTCCATTGAGGAATTGGATATCATCTATAAGGTGCCACACTGTGTACCCATCTCTGCCCATCATCGCTGGAATTTTGATGACTTGTTGGAGAAGATCTGGGACTATCTGAAACTAGTGAGAATGTAAGTCCTTATGTGGTTGAGGTAATGATGCTGTAGAAATTAATTAAACCAGGCTGTACTAAAATGATAGACTTTGGAATTCATTCACAAAATGGAGAAAAGTAAGTGGTTCCTTTCCTGTATAGGTCATAAAAAGGCACTTTTCTCCTCGGATTGGAGGTTGTTCTGGTCTTACCTCCAGGGTGATGGAGGAGTGATGTGGGTTCAATATATACAGCAGTCTTAAAGTAGCTGCCTATATGTCTGCTCTATTTTAGCTACACCAAACCCAAAGGTCAGTTACCAGATTACACATCTCCTGTAGTGCTGCCTTATTCCAGGACCACAGTGGAGGATTTCTGCATGAAGATTCACAAAAATCTTATCAAAGAATTTAAATAGTAAGTGTTGTGGGCTTGTGGTGACTCTTTTTCCTTGTAAGATACTAATTTTACTAACAGTAATTATTAGAATAGGTTTAAATAAACCAGGTAGCAGGTTCTAAAGTGCTCACTTGGCTTGAGCTTCACATATTATCTTAAAATTATATCTGGTTAGAGCAAGACGAGCTTCAGAAGCCTCTTCAGGTTAGCAGGGCTTAACTATATAAAGGCTCTGACTTGCCTTCATTAGTTCATCTTCCCATTGGCAGTATCTAATATTTCTTCCAGAATTTTACCAGCCTCCACTAGGAACATAGTCCCTCTCTAACTTTTAAGCATGGTTGAGCACAGTTGCACACACCTGTAATCCCAGCAGTTAGGAAGCTGAGATCGGATTGCCATGAAGTTAAAGGCCAGCCTGAACTACATAGTAAAGCCTTTCTCAAAAGCAAAAAACAGACTTTTAAGCTTGGCAGAACTCTGCTATTCTATTTTATACTTATACTGCTGATTGAGCCTGCAATTTTTTTTTTTTTTTTTTTTTTTTTTTTTGGTACTGGGGGATTGAACTCATAACCTTGTGCTTGCCAGGCGAGTGCTTACGCCGCAGAGCTAAGTCCCCAGCCCCAAAATTTTACTTTATTTTGACCTAATTTTAGACTTAAGAGTTTCAAAAGCAGTACAAAAAGTTTCTTTTATCCTTCACTTTTCATAATGCTAACAGCTCACTTTACCTTGGTACAATTATAAGAATCAGAGATTAATTTTGGTAAAATACTAACAAACTGTAGCTTTTATTTGAACTTTACTTTTTTTCCCTACCAGTGTCCTTTTAGTGTTCCAGGAAACTGCATGACCTCTAGTTTTATTTTTCCTTAGTTTTCCAGTATTCTAGTTTCCCATTAATGTTTCCATGGGCTTTCATTGTTTTTGATGATTTTGACCCTTCTAAATTGTTTACTAGTTACTTTGTCAGATGTTTCTTATCTTGGATTTGTCTGAGGTTCATGAGCTCTTTTTTTTCTTTTTGTCTTTGTTCCCTGTACTTTTATGTGGAATTTACAATTGAACCTAGCCTCATGTAAGCTAGGCAAGCACTCTATCATTGAGCTATATATCCAGTGCAAATCTTCTTTTTCTGAAATTTTTGTCTGCTGATTTTAGCATCTATCTGTGGGCTTGTCTGAAATATTTATACTCTTACTTTTGCCAAATGCTGATTATTTTTCTTTTTCATTTTGTATTTATTTACTGGAACTCTACTATGACCTACAGATGTCACTTCTCTATTTAATCCATAATTTACATAAATATGAGAAGTTAGATATTTAATTTATTCTGTAAACTACAATCCAGTATTACCATTATTTTGTTGCTCAAATTTTTCAAGCTTTGACTTTTAGGACTCTTTCCTGTTGTGTTCTGCCATCTTTCATACTTTCCTAAGTATTGGAACTACTGGATGTTGATGATGGATTTTGATTATTGCCTGCTCCAAGGAGCCCTGGTATTGAAGATCTGGGTGCTAGCTGGGTGTGGTTGCATATGCCTGTAATCCCAGCACTCGGGGCTGTGGCAGGAGGGTCATTGCAAATTCAAGACCAGCCTGGATTTCAAAGTCAACTCAAGGCCAGCCTGAACTGCATAGCAAGACCCTGTCTCAAAAAGCCAAAAAAAAAATAAAATAAAATAAAAAATCTGGGTGCTGGGTGTACTCACTGGTATGTATAGTAGGCTATTATTGCTTATAGGCCCTCTCAGCTGTAATGCTTGGAAATGTATACAAGGATATTAAGCCACAATTGCATGCACATCTATGTATTTGTACCTGTCTTACCCTTCCTCTTTCTTTTTCTCTCTCTCCCTCTTTTCTTCCCTCCTTCCCTGTCTGTCCTCCCAAAAAATGAGTTTATGTTCTTATCTCTTATGCAAGGTCAGTGCCATAGGGTTTTATAGTCTGCCTCCATTTATTTTTCACCTCTTTTCCCCACAAATGAAAGAGCCTCTGTCATCTATAGACTACTTACTTTTTAAATTCTACTGTATATTTTTCTTTTTTCTTTTCAAACCATTTTATTGAAAGATAAAAAGAAGAAAAAGATTCTAGTATATAATGAGACCTCTCTGTCTGTGGATTCTGTGTCTGTTGATTTAAGCAACTGTAGATTGAAAATAACTAGAAAAACAATTGTGTATGTACAGAGCATATCCAGGCTTTTTCCTTTTTCATAGCATAACAAGTATTTACATATACTTTACATTAGGTTAGGTATTATACATAATCTAGAAATGATTTAAAATATGGAGCTACATGTGTACAGGTTCTGTGTAAATATTATGCCATGTTATATGAGAGTTACCTGCAAATTTTCTTATGGGAAGAGTACCAGAACTAGTGCTTCTCAGATACAGAAGGATAAATACATATATTATTTGTTCTACCCTTATATCCTGAGAGAAATAATTTAATCAGACTTTATAGTATTTATAGATAGTAGCTCTTTTTTTTACAGAGGTTGAAAATTTTAGAATTTAGTTTTTGTCTTTTTGAGACAGAGACTTGCTATGCAGTTTGGGCTGGCCCTTAAGTTCATTTTTAAACCCCAGGGTGGTCTCAAATTTGCAACAATCCTCTCCTGCCTCAGCCTCCCACGTGCTGGGATTACAGATGTGTGCCACCATACCTGGCAAAAATTTCAAAATTTAGAACAACAAAAAATTATTTTTTCTGGGTAGATGTGTAGTTCAGTGGTTCGGGTTCAACCTCCAGCATCAAAAGTTAAAAATTTCAAGAATATTAAGAATGTCTCACTAGGTTTGGTGGCTCACGCCTGTAATCCCAGCACTCAGGAGCTTGAGGCAGGAGGATCGTTGTGAGTTCGAGACCAGCCTGGGCTACAAAATGAGCTCAAGGCCAGCCTGAACTGCATAGCGAGACTCTCTCAAAAAGACAAAAAAAAGTCTCTAATAACTTGGTATTCTTTTATTCTAAAAAATTATATTCTGGGGCTGGAGGTTTAGCTCAGCAGCATAAGCGCCTGCCTTGCAAGCAGGCAGTTGTGAGTTCGATCCCCGGTACTGATAAAAAGGAAAAAGACAAAAAAAAAAAAAAAAAATTATATTCTATACTCAAACCATTGACTCTTCACAATTACTTGAATTAGTAAAGTGGAATCTTGGTAAAAGATACTATTCTTTTTCCTTTTTTTCTTTCTTCCTTTTTTTTTTTTGTCCTATAGGACAGCTCCTTCAGTAATATATATATATAGGTACCAAAAATCTAACTTGAGCTTGCCAGGCAGGCGCTTTGCTGCTGAGCTATATAGCCCTGGCCCCAAATGCTTGTATTAGTTTTGATTTTTTTTTTTTTTTTTGTACTGGGAATCAAACTCAGGACCTTGCACTTGCCAAGCACGCACTTGTGCCACTGAGGGAAAACTCTGACCCCTAGATTTCTATATCATTTCTGCCTTCTACGGTGGCAAAACTGTTCAAAGCCTTACAACTCTAAATTTACTGGTGAATTAATGCTGAGAGGGAAAATAGTTTAGAAAAGAGATATATCAAAGTTAAGTAGAACTTTATTTACTCACTGTCTTCCTATTTTTTTGTTTAATTTCATATGTAGCTTTTTTTTGTTTTTTTCATTTTTACTGGTACCAGGGATCGAACTCACGACTGCCTGCTTGCAAGGCAGGCACTTATGCTGCTGAGCTAAATCCCCAGCCCCCGTATGTAGCATTTTAAGCTGTTAATCACAGAAATAATTCAGTTGCAAGTCTAATAATTTTAACATTTAACATCCCTTTTTTATTTCCTTTAGTTCTTTGGCTACATGCATACATCCTTTGATTATTTACACACACGTACATGATCTGATTATTTGTGAATGTTAAAGTTTTTAAAGCTATTACAGAGTACCAGGGATACAGCTCAGCAGCTATCGCCTGCCTGGCAATTGCAAAGTTGTTGAGTTGATTCCCAGTACCAAAAACAAATAAAATGAAATAAAATAATTACAGTAAAAGACACAAGCCATTAATTCCTCTCAAAATACTTTCCATTCTGAACAATACACTCTATCATTGTTGCCACTTTCTGAAGCTGTTCTGAAGTCCTGTTTTGTGTCTTTAATTAGAATGTCATGGTTGCTTTAAGGCAGAATTGATTCAGAACATTTACCTTTCATAGCCTTTTGATGAAGAGTTAGAAGGCATATGGAGCCTTGAGCTCACTTTGTAGCCCACGCTGGTTTTGAGCTTGGAGTGATCCTCATGCCTCAGCCTTCAGCGTGCTGGAATTAGAGGCATGCACCACCATGCCCAGCTTATAGCAATGTACTTTTAATGTATTTTTAAAATTTAAACACTATATTATTTGATCAGCCCAAATATATATGTATGTGTGTTTTATACCTTCAATTACTTTATAGATAGGTCCCCTGGTGGTTTTGTGTGCTCTATTCTTGGGTGAGCCCAAGGGTGCTCTACCACTGAGCTACATCCTTACCCTATTATGTTTTTTATTTTGAGAACGGTTCTTGCCAGGTTACCCAGGTTGGGCTTGATCCTGGAATCCTACCTCAGCCTCCTGAGTAGCTGAAATTACAATTATGTGTCTACCGTGGTTGGCATCTATATGTCATTTTCATACCCATATTATGTTCTGGTCTTTGCTAGTTTAGTTTTCTGGTCTTTATTCACAGACCTTTCTCTTAATTTCTGTCATGTACAAGTAGGATTAATAATTATAAGAATTTCTCATTTAATGACCTACCTCGTTAAAGATTATTCAGACTTAGACCTACTACTTGGACTTAAGAGCTATCTGTTTTTTTCTTAAAAGTAGAAAAATTTATTGGGAAATAGAAATAGCCCCTGGGAGAAAGAATTAGTCCAAAATGGGTGGCTGTTTGTTTTTTTTGAGACAGGGTTTTGCTGTGTAGTTCAGGCTAGCTCTGAACTCATTAGGTAGCCCAGGCGGGGCTCAAGCTCCTGGCAGTCTTCCTGTCTCAGCCTCCCAAGTGTTGAAATTACAGGCACATGCTGTCACACCCAGGTTACTGTCCTTTCTTTCTGTACAGTTCTGTACATCTTGCTTATAGAGCCGCAATGTCTTTTTTTGGTATAGTACATCTTGTTTATACAGTATAGTAATTTTTGCTGATTGTACTATACAGTATAGTACTATAGCTTTATGTTCTATTATACATGTAAGAATTATTCAAATAAAAGCAAATGACCAACTTTGAGTTTCCTTTGATCTGTTCTTTGTTATGAATATTATAACGTACATACTAATATACAGTTCCTAATCTAGCAACAATTCAGGAAGGTAATTCAATCTTTAAATGAAATGTCTGTGTATGGATTTTGTTATATTTCACAACATTGCTTTTCAGAAGGGCTGAATTTTTTATACACTGCTATTAACAAAGTAGGGAGCACTGATTTTACTTTAGGCAAAGAAAGTGGCAGTTAAAAGGTAGTTTTGTAGTATAAGATTATAAAATAGTCACTCTGCATTTACCTATATTATTTATTAGTGCATTTGAAAAATGTGTGTATGTAGTTGAGTGTGGTTCTGCACACCTGTAATCCTAGCCCTTGGGAAGCTGAGACAGGAGGATCGCCATGAGTTCAAGGCAAGTCTGAACTATACAGCAAGACTCTGTCTCAAAAGAAAAATTTGTGTATGTGTGTATAAAATACTCATTTTACTAAATCTGTGATACCTGATTACCTATTAATCCTTTATTTTTCCAGTTTGAGGATAGACTCCCAAGTCCTCATGCATGCTAGGTAAATAAGTAGTACCACGGAGCCTACACCCAGGCCTGTTTGTTTTTAACTAGTATCATGTTTAGTAGTTTTTTTTTTTTTCCTGATACCAAGGATCGAACTCACAACCTCACACTTGCCAGGCAAGTGCGTGAGCTGCTGAGCTAAATCCCTGGCCCTCTTTTCGAAATATGTATAGATTTTTTAAAGTAGTGTTTTTGGTTCCTTGACAATATCAATTTTGGAGCCTTTTGGTATCATTTACCTGTGTATATTCCAGAAGATTAGGAAGGGACAAAAAACAAGTTTTTGCTTGATAGAGAAGAAAGAACATTTTTTGCCTGGCAGATGCGATACACTTGTTTCTTATCAGTGCCCAGTGTTTCAGTAGACTCCATTAAATACAGGTGTTCTCCAGCAGTTTATAGCTGACATTGCATGAATTAGTCTGTGGTCTGAATTTTTCAGTTTCTTTCTCTGTACTTTTTTTTTAAAGATGGGTTTCCCTATGTAGTTCAGTCTAGACTTGAGCTCACTTGGTAGCCCAAGCTGGCCTTTAAACTCACAGTGATCCTCCTGCCTCAGCCTCGTAAGTACTGGGACTACAGGGATTAGGATCTTTTTTTTAACAGGTCATATTTGGATTTTTGAAGTCCTATTAATTTGAAACCATAGCTTCTTTATACTACTACTCATGGTTCTGTCTTTGACGTTCTTAAACTGACTCTGGAACAAGAAGACCCAAATAGCTTCTAAAAGGCTTTGCTCTTTTCTATGTGAAGGTTCAGTGTATCACAGTGCTGGGGAAGATAAAACCATTAGCTTCAAGAGTGATCCTTGACCTGGGGAAGGGGTTGGCTATTTAAAGTCTGCAGCTTTCAATGGGGTATGAAAACTGAAAATGTTAGCATCCAAGAAAATAGGGTAGAAGGTAGGTTATTATGTACACTGACTGTATTTTTTTTTTTTTTTTCTTTTCCTCTGATACAGTGCTCTGGTCTGGGGTCTCTCTGTGAAACACAATCCTCAGAAAGTGGGTAAAGACCATACACTGGAGGACGAGGATGTCATTCAAATTGTGAAGAAGTGAAACCTTCCTCTTCCCCCATCTGCTGGGCCAACCACAGCAGCTTTCCCCATGACCAAGCACCCTACTCATTTCTTTCTGGTTTTGGCAGCCACTGGATCAAGATACAGGGGTGGGAAATGGAGGCACCCAAACTGGAACTTCATTTGTCTTACTGTGGTGTCACCTTCTGTGCTGAACTGCATAAAAGACCCAGTAGGCCTGTTCTCTATGTGCAGTTCTTGTGTCCTTGTCAGGTTTGTTTTGGGATGGGCTGAATGAACAGTGTACAGTGAAGCAGCTACAGAAAGAGTACCTGGTCGCGTGGTTTTGAATGTGCAATGGATAACATTGTGACATTAACATTTGATGCTTTGTGATGGGAAACCCAATTGCACGTGGCCTTTGGTCCTTTCAGATGATCTGTTTCCATGAGTGGAGAGACGAAGGACTTGATGTAGTTATTCTCTACAAGGATTCCATTCTGGGAGATGGAATAGTATAGCAGGAGGTTGGAATCACGACTACTTAAGAGGGTACTAAGGACAATCAAAGTTGTAGAGGTTGGAAAAAAGGATTTAAAGGAATAGCTGATTATGTGAAGCCAGTTGGCAGTAATCTTAGTGTGGTGGGTTAGTGAAAATATGGGTAGAGGGTAGGTATGGGCACACAGATACAGAGGAAGGATCTAAAATTGGTAACTGATGGTGTTTTCTAAAAGAAATCAAAAGATTCAATATGTAGGGTGATAGTCCCTAAGAAAATCAGAAAAGTGAAGATTTGTAGGAAGACAATTTGATGGTCTTCAAATGAGATGAACCAGAGCTTTTAGTAGGTTGAGGGATGAGCAGGTGGGATTATCGGTGTACTCAGCTTTTGTCCAGCAGCTTTTTTTTGTTGTCCTAGAGATGCTCTCTGCACTTTGCACTGTCCTCAGACCCAGGAGATAAACCCCTCATGCCTCAGAGGCTAGTCATTTTTCAGAATATAGACCCTGGTGTCTTGGCACATTAATAATAGAGGCCTGACTTAAAGCCTTCCCCACCTTTGCAGAGAAACATGAAAATACTAGCTCTTTTAGCTATGGGATTTCGAACAAAGTTTGCTCACCAGCCAGAGCATGCTGAAATTTTGGGGAATCCTCAGGCCAAAATTCATTTTCAGCAAAGTGAAACTAAAGTCAGGCTTAAGGATTCTGGCATTGACACTAAGGTTTGCTATCTTTCACTTGTGAAAACACAAAATCTTGGTGTCTTTCTGAGGCTGGGGAATTACACTGAAAAAGAATGGTACTGCAGGAGTAGAGGTAACTAGTTTGAAAGGAAAATACCAGCAAGGGATTGACCTCATGCTTAGTCCACAAAGCCAGGTTTTGTTAAGAGGTGACCTGCATTTAACACTTGGGAGCAACAAGCTCTGTTTTATCCTTGCATTCAAAATCCAACCACTTGCCCTTCATCTTTTTTTTTTTTTTTTTTTTTTTTTTTGAGACAGAGTCTCACTATATAGTTGAGTTGGCCTTGAACTCACTTGGTAGTCGAGCTGGCCTAGGATCTACCTATCTTAGCTTTCTAAGTGTCAGGATTACAAGCATGCATCACAATGCTTGGCTTGCCCTTCATCTTTGAATTAGAAAATGTTCATCCTCTAGCGTAGAGGCAAAGTAGTTTTTATACCCCTAAATGGGTATGTATTTAGGACTCAGGTAAATTAACTCAAGCTTCAGAAATACCAAGTCAAATCAATAGAACTGAAAAATCCTTTAGTCAGAAAAAGGGATTCAAGACCCTCTAGTATTCTGTAGAATCCTTTTCTTTTGATGCTGTGTAGATAGGTTGTAAGTTAATAAAACAAGATGAGGTATGTTATACAAGGAGTTAGCACATGGATTTCAGTCAGAGCTGAGCTGGATAAATAGGATGGCTCTGTATGTGTGATTTCTTTGGGAGAAACTACCATATACATGATTTCTAAATAAGCAAATTTTTTTAGGTGAATTTTAAAAACTGTATACTGTTATGTACTGATATCCTGGTATTTGCTACAAAGCTACTTCCAGCTCAGCCTAAACTGCCATAGTGGGGTTCCTAAGGTCAATAGAAGACCAAAGCTGCTTCATCCTAAATCAGAATAAACAGTTCAATTGTGTGAATTTTTAAAGAAAAATTAGAACTTCAGGTCATTTCCCACAAAGTACCTCCTGAGCCTCTTTGCTTAACTCTTAGCAATAAGGATTCAGAGAGGAAAGAAACAACAATGCCATTCACTTCATTCACACATTTAGCATCTGCAACTTTAATCAACAAAAAAGTCCCAAATGTACAAGTGAAAAAAATCCAAACCATTGACACAGGCTTAACTAATATCAGCTACTTTTATGTACAGCTGTATAAGTTCAAAAAATCTATCCTATATGTATGTACAAAAGTTGTTTATACATAGTTCTGTACATAAGGGTCTATACATTTCCTCAGAACCCTTAGGTGCCACCTCTTGGTGAAGACACCAACACTTCATTCACATATCTTACAAAAATGAAAAGACTTTTCCAGGATTGACAAAACTCTGCATTCTGCACTCAGACCATGTAGGTTCCACTCTATTGGTTAAGATCCTTGTGTCACAACACAGGCCATGCCAGGTGCACATGTTCCCTCAGGAGCTTTACCCAGAGTGCTCCAAAGTAAAAAGCCTGTAAACCAACCCGAGATGAGGCAGCAGAGTCCTGACCAGGGTGCCAGCATAGGTCCAGACATGGATAAGCCTGCCTGCCCTCTCACTGTCGGTATTCCAATTCATCTACACTGATGACTTTGGCAGGCATGGAGGGGAGGGGCTGCTGCAGCACATCTGAGCCAAACCATTTGGCAAGGCCCACAGGGGAGCTGCTCCTATGGCTGGGGCGATGCTCCAGCTGCGAGTGCATGTGGGGCAGGCCTGGGCGACTGGGTACAGTCTGAGGAGTCGTCTGAACGCTGACAGCTGCTGCTTGCGAACCAGAGCCTGGAGGATGCAGAACTATGGAGATAAGAAGGGTTATCATTCTAAGTGTGTGTGGGAAAGCAGTAGTTTGTTAGATCCTGCTTCCAACTGATGCATAAAACTACCCCCAAAATATCAGGATTTATTATCGGGCTTTAAAAAACTGCAAAATGTCATTCAATACTGAAGAGCCCCCTGGACATGATTATTTCCCATAGTGAGCAGCCCATTACAGAAGCACATGAGCTGGTGAAGTGGCATCTAGCCCAGGCAGGCCCAATCAAACCTCTACTCTACCTTCTCACCAAAGATAAAGGATGAAGAAAGCTACAGCACACTGGGCTCTTACACTTTCTTTACAGAAACAATAATAATCCCAAATCCCCCAGAGGTCAGTTTACTTCATCTTATTCTCTAGTTACTCCTTTACCCTAGTCTTGCTAAGACAAGAAACGAAGTATGTCAATTCATCCCTCACTGGAAATTGGTCCTGACTTCACAAGCTTACTCAGCTCATCCTAAGTTCACCTGCCATATTCCTGAACCTACCAGAGCGCTGGAGCTGCTGCTGCATCATTGCGAGATGCAGAGGTGTCCCAGGACGAGGGTTTAGGAGAGGGTGACTAGCAGCAGGTAAAGGGTAAAAGGGTTGACCCAGGATTGGGCCTGATATTCCTTGTAAATGAGTCAGGTCCATCCCAGGAGGAAGTACACCTGTTGGGCACACAAATAAAACTGCTGAGTATTTAGGTATAATGATGCCAGATATAATCCCAATACTTGGGAGGCTGAGGCAGGAGGACTGCTGTGAGTTTGAGGTCAGCTTGATGAGTTCATTGCCAGGCTGAACTCAACAAACCAAAACAATAACAAAAAAACCCCGCTGAGTAGCAGTAATAATGTACCTGGAAAGTTTTAAGTTTGTACACTTAAGCTGAGAAATTGCTCAAGCTTGGTTTGTAATCTTAAAATGGACTAAGTGATAGATTGGACTGGATCACTGCCTACCAAAGTTAGATGGAAAAATCTAGTAACATCTCTTTAGGGATGAAAACCTCCCACAGGCTAGCACTACATCAATGCCAGGCAATGTCATGCCAGGTCAAAAACTTACCAGCTTGGAGCAAACTTGGAAGATGCTGTGGATGTACTCCCTGGGCCAGCATCCTCTGGACCAACCCTGGGTGAAGTTGGTGAGTAGGACGAACAATAGGGACATGGGGAACAAGAGGAACCTGGTGGACAGGGCGGAGGAAAGGTGTTCCTGGAACGGGGGATGCCAAGGTGGGAGTTTTCCTTCCAGTTGCTTTCAGTCGGTAATCTTGTTCTTTGGTGAAACGGTTGGTCTGAGATAGTGGGGTGGAACACGAAGATCGCTGTAACGCTGGAAGTTTGGGGTTTGTTGTAGAAGAGTCTCGTTCAGCACTGGGTATGGAGTTGGATGATAATAGGTTCTCTGGAAGGATGCAGTGAGAAAATATTTTGGTATTGGTAAACATTTCTTAGATACTTCGGCTACCTAATGGCTCCAGAATTTTTTTCCCCCAAAACTGGAGAGTGAACTCAGAAGTAAGGTACAACCCTAGCGTTTAAAAAGTTTTTAAGTTCTGAGACACCATCTCAAGTTGCCCAGATTGGCCTTGAATCTCAGTTCACCTGCCTTAACCTCCCACATAGCTGGGGTTACAGGGTTGCACCAACATCAGTTTTTCATTTCCTAAAATGGTCACAATTCTTACTTGATCTCTTCAACAGGTTTAGATGACTGCAGGATAGGGACTATCACTTGCCTTATAGACAGGCCCACAATATGAACTGTAAGTAGAGGGCACAGGATTAGTTAGAGACAGAGCTGGTACTAGACTACAAGGCTTATGGTTTACCAACTCTTTGCTGAAATACTTTTTTTTTTTGACAGTAGTGACATCAAACCCAGGATCTCACAAGGTAGGCAAGCACTCTACTACTGAGCCACACTCCCTACCCACAAAGAATTTTAATATCTAACCAAGGACTCTGAAGTTACAAATAATATATCTCTTAAAGGGGCCATAACTCTATTTTTATATTCCTCCTCACACAAGAATAGCTAATACAGAATGCCTGGCATAGCAGGCTTGGTGGTCTAACTAGCTGGGCATTCTGTTTTACCCAAATGGCTGGGCTCTGGGCCTACATGGGGTCTTACTCTATCAGCAGCAGCTGCTTGGGATTAGCATGCTTGTTAGTTGAAGAGGGGAAAAAAAAAAAAAAATC